GAGCTTTGACCAGACTTCGAATCGAACCTAACGGCTTCATTATGCAGTGCCTTAAACTAAGTAGGCTATTTGAGGTTTCAGATGTCTACCGATTTGAATTCTCGTTCTTTAGAATTTCCAGACTAGCTGCCATAAATATTTTGAAATTCACGAGCCAGAAGGTCTTTTCGGAAGCCAAACATATTGTTCGTTATTTCTTCGATTTTCAGAGTAACAGTGGGGTTGTATTATGCTACCATACCGGGTTTGCGATTCCTATATCATGTTGGTAAAATTGCCACTTTAAGTTTTAGGGGACACAGCTGATACACATACCATTCAGGCAAAAAGTAAGCTGGGTATCCTTTGCTGTACACATAAGTTGTCTCCATTTCACTCAATCCATATTTGTATGTCGCCAGCCCCGCTGTCTGTAGAGCCTCCACTTTCCATCTGGTCCAATTTGCCCGCTTTGCGCCTCTTCGCCTTGTTCCTACTTTCACTGGGTTATCCGACATTCTTAAGACGTACCCAGCCCATCGCCCGATTTTTAAGGTATGGACGATGGGTGGTTTTCCCATCAGTCGGTGCAATTCGCGGTTTATGCGCCTCCTGCATCTGCATTGCACCGCAGATGGTAGTGATGGTAGGCAACACGTTTTGTCAAAAAACACTAAAGGCGCATTGGTCCTCCACGAGCATAGTCCATTGTAGATAGTCAACTTCGTGCTGCGGCGACCTTTATTCGAGCGGAGCGTGCTTCTGAGTCGAAGTAAGTACGATTCCCGGCCATAATGTGACATGATACCAGTTCTTATACAACCGCTCGTTCTGAGACAAACGCAGCTCGACAGTCGTACCATAGAGGTAACTCTAAGACCAGAAGGTCCCGAAGAAACGTGCTCAACTTTTTGGCTCAGCTCTGGTACTATCTTCGGTCCAAGCTAATCGATGCACCCCTCGAAACATAGGAAAATCCACGAACCCCTCATTTTATCTGTCAAACTTTCATAGCGAATCAAAACAAACATTGTGTAGTACTAGAGTTTCGACTGGAATGGTGTACGTTAATCGATTTGCTTGGGACCAATAGGCTAGTCAAGTAGTGAGCCAATTTATAATCGATAGTTTCGTATTGATTGTTGGTCACTTTGTAATCACCACGATCCCCATATCCATGTGTTAATTGGCGTTGACAAGAGTGTTGATTTGTTTGCAGTTTTACGTGAGTAAGTGAAGGTAGGGAGAAACACCGTTGGAGTACAGATAGGGCTTAGATCTCATTTTTTTTTCCTTTGGTTTGTTTTTTTCGTCGATCTTGTTTTCCGTGCTGAGCACCAGTGCTACCGACGTGCCAGAAAGGCAGCTCCCACACCTGGACCCTACCTATCGACCCATCAACTCATGAACCGGGGACCAACGGCTTTACTTCCCATCCGAAGGAAGGCGTGATCAGAGATGTTATGCCTCAGAACATCCCGGCGGTGCCGACTGGGATTGAACCCAGGCCTGCTGGGGTGAGAGGTAATCACGCTTACCACTACACCACCGGCGCCGTTTAGATCTTATTTTGGGCCTACTAATTTCAATTTTTTCCCAAATCTTTAATCTAGATTCTTGTAGCTTTGAATGCCCTTATAATTTACTCCATATTGAGGATCTTCTGCAGAAAACTCTCTGAATTCACTCTGCAATGCTCTTTATATTATTGATATTTTTTTGTGTATAACCATCAATTCCCCGGAAAAACCCTCCTGGAAAAAAATCACTTTGAGTTCTCCTCAGCATTCACTTAAGATTCTGTTGAAATTCCCGCGGAATTATCATCGGAATTCTTTTTTAGTTCTGCTCAAACTTCCCATTAACTCTTTAAAATGCTCCCGATATATTCCTTGGAACTCTCTTTTGAACTTCTATAAAATATCACCGGAATATCCTTGGACAACTTCTCAGAATTCCTCGTAATTCTAAACCATCATCGGAATTCGGATGTTTTTTTCCTTGATTTGTTTTCTGTACTGAGTGCCAATGCTACCGACGCCAGGCAGATAGCTCCTACACCTGGACCCTATCTATAGATGTTTATGTCTCAGAAAATTCCCAACGGCGCCGACTGGGATCTAACCTAGGTCCTTTGGGGTGAGAGGCAATCACGCTTACCAATACACCACCGGCGTCGCTGGAATTCAGAATCCAATACCCTTGGGATTTTCCATGGAATTACCTTAACATTTTCCCTTCCATTATATTGGAATACTCCTAAGAAATCCATGGGAATTATTTCCAGAATTTTCGTTGAATTCACCTGGAGTTCTAAGTTCTCCTGAAATTATTCTCAGATTTAATTGTAATCTTTTTTTTATCATTACTTCAAACTATTCTCCAAAAATGTCCATGGAATTTTGCCCTGGATTATTTTTCTCCTAGAAACTTCTTGAAATTATCCTCAAAAATCCTATGGATTTCTCCTTTGAATTGCCTTGAATTTCTCCTCCGAATCATGGTGAAATAATTATCAGAATTTTCATTCAAGTTTTCTAATAAATTCTTATGAATTAACTTCTGTAGTTCGTATGAAGTTTCGTTAAAGCTTCATTTGAACCCTATTCATAATTTACATGGAATTCTTCTCAGAAGAACCAACCGGTATAAACTAACGGTTTTAAATTGACTCACTACTTGACTAGCCCATTGGTTCCAAGTACATCTATAAGCGTACCCCATTCTAGTCGAAATTCTAGTACTACACTATGGTTGTTTTGATTCGCTATGAAAGTTTAACAGATAAAATGAGGGGTTCGTGGATTTTCCTATGTTTCGAGGGGTGCATCGATTAGCTTGGGACCGATGATAGTACCAGAGCTGAGCCAAAAAGTTGAGCACGTTTCTTCGGGACTTTCTGGTCTTAGAGTTACCTCTATGGAACAAGCTTGAAAGCAGATTTCACTTGATATTTTTCTCATGTTCTTCCCAGAACTCCGTTGGAATGAGTTTTTTTTAGATATTCGAATCAAATTCCATTGTATTGATTGGTTGATTTTTGTTTTCAAATCTATGATCTTGGTAATTTATCTTCGTTTCAGATTCTTGAAAATGTTCAAGTATTTTATTTGTGAAAATCCACGTTTCAAAACTCCATGTTCCAGCCCTGAAAAAAATGCAAGCCTTTGAATTTTCAAATTTATTTGAAACCGAAGATAGATCTGTTCCGGATCTAGTAACTTCAATGAGTGAAAAAAATAACGAAAAAAATAAAATGTTTCCATTATAAAATGAGGTTTCCCGGTTTCCCAGGTAATGGACACCATAATACCACAGACAAACAGACGTAACTCTTTGAAAAACTTGTTCTTGAAAACATAGTATCTCAAAACATAGAACCTCAGTAATGAGCGGATCGTGGATTTTCCTATGTTTCGAGGGGTGAATCGATTAGCTTGGGACCGAAGATAGTACCAGAGCTGAGCCAAAAAGTTGAGCACGTTTCTTCGGGACCTTCTGGTACTTCTATGATATTACCATAGAGGTAACTTTAAGACTAGTAGGTCCCAAAGAAACGAGCTCTACTTTTTGGCTCAGCTCTGGTACTATCTTCGGTCCCAAGCTAATCGATTCACCCCTCGAAACATAGGAAAATCCACGAACCGCTCATTTTATCTGTCAAACCTTCATAGCGAATCAAAACAACCATAGTGTAGTACTAGAATTTTGACTAGAATTGGATACGTTAATCGATTTGCTTGGGACCAGTAGGCTAGTCAAGTAGTGAGCCAATTTAAAATCGTTAGTTTCGTATTGATTGTTGATATTACTGCCTATAATCCCATGTAAGTCCCATATGGAAGAAGTAGGCATTGAGAAAACCGAAGCTACGAAGTGTCACCTCAACTCACACAGCACGCAGAATAGGCCCAAGAACTGTAACTTAACTTCTGGACGATTGAATATAAGGATGGGACTGATATGCGATTACTTTTTCTTGATGGGACAAACTGACTTGATGTTGTTTTCAAGTTCATTTCCCCTATACATTATCAACTCATCATTTTGAAATGTAAAACATGCGCAAATACGACAGGACCAGGGCTTGGCCTTGAATGTCTTACTCATATGATTATTTATCTTTCTCATTTTACGGATTCACTCACTTTGGCGTGTAGCTAGCGTTCTACCCCGTTTGGCATAAAGGTCATTTGACATAAACAAGGTAAAAATAACAGCTCATGTGAAAGGTTAACACTAAGTAATTGATTATTTTCCTTTCTTTTTATCATGAGCTGTTCTTTTATATTCTGTTGAAATACAATCAATACAACAATATCGGTATAATTAGTGATTTTCCTCATTGGTGCCAAATTCGTACAGTAAGGTTTCGATCCACAAATTTCATTATTTGCAAAATCGATTATCTGAAAACGTCATAGGTTTTTAAATGGGGTTGAGTTTTCTAAGTGCAGATCACATTCAAATTAAATAAGTTGTGAAAATCCTGTTGTCAAAATCGGACCCACACTGTCTATCTAAATCTTCTCCCCGAAGGCGTATTTTTGGATATTTGTCGGAATTTTGATGTCATTTCTCAGGGCCCTCTCCATTTGGTGTAGAAGAGTGTTTACTGAAACGTGCGCATCATAGCTGGTATGAGTAGCTTTGGTTTTTCTTTACGGAATGAGTAACAACATTGCAAACGGTTCGAATTATTCAAAAATCATCCCCCCACCTGTTGCGTTGATTTCCAGCACAAGTAGTACCTGTTCCTACTTTTCCTGCCAGAATAGAATTTGAAGGACATTTACCAATGAATCAAGGTAATAACGATGCATATTAGCTCTAATACAACTACAAAAACGTTCAGCTGTTAGGTTGTGACGAGTCCTGCGCAAGATTTGAAACACTACTGGATTTAAGTTCACCTCACACCTTTCTTATTTTCCACCCTTTTTCATTTTACCACTACTCAATTTCCATCTAATGTTCGGTTTTTTTTTTTTTCTTGTCTATTTTTTCACAATTTCCATTAGGTATCCGCCTCGTGAAGCCCCGCGGCCATACATGGGACATCCTGTCAAAGCCGATTCCATGGGATACTACGAACAGCAACCGCAACAGGTCACGGTTCAGCAATCTGCTCCCCCAGTTAGCTCAGAACCTCCTCCACCTGGGTTCGAAGAACAAGACAATTGGTCCGGTAAACAGGAAGCGGAATATCGAGCTCCAGTTACTGCTACTCCGGTCAAACCCTCGGAGGAAAGTTCCTACGAGTATCATAACACACCGAAGAGTCGTGAGCATGAACGTGCTCACACACCCGTCATTCGTGATGATCGCCACGAACACATGACTCGATCGCATTCCAAAGATAAGGAAATCAAAAAGAAGAGTCGCGAAGAGAACGAAGAACATCATCGCAGAGAGGAGAGACGTGCGAAAACTCCTGAGCGCCATGAGAAAGAGAAATCTTCGAAGCGTAGCGATCACGAGAAGGAGAAAGAAAGAGAGAAGAAACGTAATGAAACGAAGCGATTGGCCGAGAAGGAACGAGAACGTGAGCGTGAGCGTGAGCGTGAACGTGAACGTGAACGTGAGCGTGAGCGTGAACGTGAACGTGAACGTGAACGTGAACGGGAACGAGAACGTGAAAGAGAAAAGGAAAAAGAGAAGGAGCGCGAGAAGGAAGTCAAACGGAAACAAAGAGATTCAAGTGAAGAGGATAAGAAAGATAAGAAAAAAGATAAGGAGAAGAAAAAACGAAAAAAAGAGAAAGAAGCTGAGAAGAAAAAACACAAGAAGGAGCGAAAAGAAAAAGATAAAGAAAGCCGATCGAAAGAAAGGAAGAAGGAACGAAAAACGGTTGAGAAGGAGGAAGCCGACAGCTCCCAGCAACCGGCAACTCCGAAGCATGCTCCACAAGGTATCAACTCTGAGGATGAGAAAGTATCATTGCATGAAAGTCGGCAGCCGGAAGTTGATACAACTCAGGAATATGTCGGTCACGATTTTGATGAAACGCTTGTCGTACCGGATCGCTCTCATAATCTCAGTAAGACCACTTCCGAAGGGGAGGAGAATTCCTATCGCGAAGAGCCTTCCAGTAGCCATGATCAGCAGAATGAACAGCTCTGTCAGCCGATTGTAACAAGTCACGATCACAGTGATCTTTACTCGGATATTCCGGAGAAGTATGAGGAAGATCAACTAGAAAAATCCGTCCTAGAGGGCCACTTGGGAGACGAGGAAATTGATTTGGTGAACAGCACCGGTGTGGCAGCCGAAGAACATCTACCGGAGGATATAAAACGATCGGACTCAATTTTAGATCTCCATGCCAATCTGGACTTCGAGGCAGATTTGGAAGAAGGTGAGCACATGTCTCCACCGAAGTTTATCGGCATTCCAGAACTTTCTAAATGGGAACTGGAGGAAGACGCTCCGGTAATCACAAGCACGGAATGTAAGCCGTCGTTGGAAGAGCACGGTGTCATCGTTAAACATGAGGAATCGTCCGCTAAAGTGACGAACGAGGTGCTAAAGCGCGCAGAGAATGCCATCTTTACCCGTGCGATTGCCGCCATCCGACCGATCGAGATTAAGAAGATCAGCGTTGATCGACAGAAGCTGTACTCGAATGAGGTAATGCTGGATGAGGAAAAGCCGACGCTGGAGATTAAGGTTGAAAAGCAGCAAGACGAACTCAAGCGATTCCAGGTGAGCTATGAGGTTTTATTTCGGAAACGTTTTAAATCATACAAAATACAGCGATATACAAAAAAAAATCCGGGCTTCTGGGTGACGCTATTCTTCAGCCAGCAAGGCAGTGCTTATACTATTCATGTCCACATCGGTTGGGTTTTCTATGGTCACATGCAGGTGAACTACGGTCCTGTAATTTAGAGATATTATGGCGATGCGATTGTATTGAGAATAAATCGTACACACGGGTTTGTTTGCAGTTTTCGGATTAGGCTGGCTGTGGAAAGTATGAGAGCGGCAACCAGTAGAATGGTCATGCTTGCGATGATGCTGCGACATTTGCTCTGGGTTTCTTCTGCTTGCCCGAAGAAGCCCAGTAGAACGGCATCCATGGCGTAGTGAATGGCAAGTGAAGCCGTCGCTATCCTACACGTTGCAAAAAAATTGGTCGACATGGTTGGTACAAAATAGAACTGTAGCGTTTTGACAGTTTATTACAACAGTAATATATCAATGAAAACTTGATTATTTTTTTATAGATTTAAAAAATTGATGGAACATGTTGAAAAACTGAACATAACTTTTAACAGTGTCCAGAACTGTGGAGATTTTCGAAAAAACGACGATTTCTCTACTAATATTGCTTATTTCGATGTACAAATCATTCTAAATTTATCTTCGTATTTTGCATAAATTTCGCTCCATTTTTTTCTTCTAAATTTGTCCTAAGAAATCCCCTGGTATGCCATTTAGAAACCTTCAAATCTCCCTCAGAATTCCCTTAAAGTTTCCCACAGAATTTTCTTAGAATTCTTATCAAAATTATCTAGGAATTCTCGGGTTTTTTCTGTCCTTGGAATTCTAAATTTTAAATTCTTCTCAAAATGCCACTGAGAGAGCATCTTGTGGAATTCTCTTAAAACTATCATAAAAACTGTTCTGAGAATTCCATTCCCATAGCATTCATCTCGAAGTTCCCTGGAAACTTGCTTCAGAATCTCCCTAGAATGCTACTCAGAAGTCTTTGTAAATATGTTTAAAATTACCTGTAAATTCTCCTCTTTGGAATCCTCCTGAAAATTCCCTTGAAACTATCGGCAAACTAGTTCGAAATTCTGCAAAGATTTATTTTTGCTGTGCTGTCTCTTCAGAACTATCTAGGAATTCACCTATAATAGTTGTACTTAAAATTTTCAAAACTTACAGGATTTTAAATAGCACCTGTGCACACAATTTTATTCCGGGAAAACCGGGAAAAACCCGGGAACTTAAAAAGACTAACGGGCAGCCACCCTGAATAATTCTTTCTCTCTCATTCCTTTAGTTCATGCATTTATAAACTAAAACATTTGCTATCCCTCAACAGGTCACGGTCCCTACGAACGATGACAACGCGGAGCGCTCGGTTGAAATTAAGCCGGAGGTGGGCAAACTGGAGGGTCGCGCTTCGCCGATTCGAGCTTCCATCAAGGAACGCCTCGGAAGTAAGATTACCGAAATTCGTGGCAGCAGTTCGAGTACGTATTCGCGTTCCCGTACGCCCCCACCGGTCCGGAAAGTGAAGGCATCATCGTCCTCGACTACCACCCTGACTAAGGTCGAACAGTCGCGGAAACGAACCCGCAGCCGATCTCCGGAACGTGACGGAAGTGGCAGCAGGAAGCCCCGAAGCGAGAGGGAGGAACGCCATCGAGAGGAGATCCGTATCAGCAGCAGGAGGCAGGATACCGGTAGGCGAGTGGTAGTAGCAGTAGTAGAGCCTACCACTGAAAAGCGAAGGGAGCATGAACGGAAGGATAGAAACGATAGAAGCGATAGAAACGAGAGGCGAAGCAAAGATCAAGTAGCTAAAGATACAACAGAGAAGCCCTGTGAGAAAGTGGTGAGACGAAGTAGTGAAAAAAGTCGAGAAAAGCGGCGTGAAAGAACTACTTCACCCGCCAGACGAGACCGAGAGCGTGAACGTGAACGCGATCGTGAGCGGGAACGCGAGCGCGAGCGGGACCGGGAACGAGGACGCGATAAGGAGCGACGAAGGGAACACAAAGAGGACGACGAGCGGCACAGGAAAACCGAAAGCCGTCCGGAGAAAACAAGCAGTCACAGTCATAAAGAAGACAGGAAAACTCACTCGGATCGCAAACGAACAGAAAACGAACCAGATCGTCATCGTCATCGTGATGTAGCTCCATCCGATAAGGAACGTCGTGATGAAGGGGCAAGCCGAAGGGAAGATTCGCGTAAGCGACTACCAGAAGAATTGCCGGAAAAACCTGTGGAAGTTCCAGCGAAGAAAGCGAAATCCGAAAAGGTGGCCAAAAGCTCACGGGATGCGGCCAGTTCGAGCGACTCCACCAGTTCGGGTTCCGATTCATCTTCGTCGGACTCGAGCAGCGGTTCGGACGATGAGACCAGCAAGAAGCGCAAGAAGCGAAAGCATAAGAAGGAACGCAAACGTGCCAAACGATCTGGATCGACCGAGTCGGATGATTCTGCTGGTAAGAAGAAGAAAAAGAGCAAGAAATCCAAGTCTAGCAAAAAGAAAAAGAAGGACCGAAAGCACCGGAAGGAGTAAGGTGACAGTATTCGATCTCGGCGTAAATTGTACAGTGGGAAATGCGCTATGGTTCTGGAAGCAGAGACCCATTCGAACAACAATATGACTAACTTCTAGGATTAAGTTATTTACTAATAATCATCGTAAGCGCCAATGAATTGGCGAAATCAATTGAAGAAGAAGAAAAATGTGAATTCGATTTCATGTACATGATTTATCCACATCCTGTAAAAGCAGTTTCGTTGAATAAGAAATAAAAACTCTAGAACTGACACGGACGATTGTTTTTCTTTCAGAAAGGTTAAAGAAGAATCCTTCTCGGTTTATTTTACTGGTCTGTTAGACTTTTATTTGAAGCAGTATTTCTTTTTACAATAGAATATAGCTCAGTTGATTTGCCTATAAGTAAAGATATTCACATTTCATTTTTATCCTTTTATTCAACACGATACATCACGTTCCGCTATCTCATTATATGCCGTTTACCTGGGTAATATGTTTGCTTACTTTGTATTTATTTTTTTCGAAATATAATAGTTCATAAGTAGTTTTAGCTGTGGCTTTCGCAGATATTTTTCGTTCTAGCTAGATTTTGTTTTTGCTCCTCTCTGTGGGCAGAGATGAACCAGCCTACGGCTGAAAATCTCTTTAATAATGACAACCAGCCAACCTCTCTGTGGGCATTGTTTTCCGCTAGATTCGTTTTAGTTAGGGGTATCAAACTGAAGCAACTTATGAAAGGGTGGGTATTTATTGGTACTAGGCTACGCATTGTGATATTTTACATGTCTGTTGTGAAAGGGAGGTGAACTGAATGAATGATTACAATTTTGTATTTTGGAAAATACAATAACAAAGAAGATTGTACGTCTAGGATAAGTGCAAACATAGCGCTGGTAAACCTATATCTAAATTAATCCATGGAGGCGCACAGTACTTAACCCGAAGTGTACGTACTTCTCATAGAAAACAAACTACCACCGTATCCATGAGGAGGTCCCGCCCACTCAAGGAAATGGGCCAAAACGTTTACGTATTGCAAGAAACTATGCACGGACAATTCCGTTGATTTGTGGCTTTGACCCATTTCTACGGATTTACGGATCCGTTCATGAAATGTCTAGAAATTTTCTTCGTTAAATACAGCTTGACGTCCGCAAAGGGATCGATTGTGGAATTCATTTTTCGTTCCCATTTTTTTTATTAAGCATTTGTATTAATTATACTAAATTGAACGCCTTCGTAGCTTGGGTCTATCGACGGAAGTCTTATACTTACTCTGTTATCCTCAAAGGGGCCCTACATTAATTATGACATGCGGAATTGTCACCCCCCTGTGTCACATTTTTATGTTCTGCCCATAATCGCATATCAGTCCCATCTGTGCTAGATTTCCTATTCATATGATTATACGATTATGGGTAATGCATGCCCCGTAACGTGGGTAGATCACCTTTTCGTGGTACGTTACGGGATGTAAGATCTATCACATCGAACTCTGGCCCTAAGCTCTTCTAGTTGATTATGTTCACCGAGTTATATACCTCGATTTTGAGATTTGAAACAAGAAAAGGTTCGGGCCAGGCTTCCGATTAATGGTCAAATATCAGTATCATCGCTTGTTTTTCTCACTAACAAGATCTATTTTGATTGATGAGACGGGGCGTCTTTAGGGAGGTCCCAGAACTCTTCAAATGATACGAAACATCTCAATTGAAATAGGATTCTCATGAAAACTATTATGATTGATGAGAGGGTGTGTCTTTGGCAAGGTCTCAGAACGCTTCGAATGATGCGGAACATCACACTTGAATGAGGCTTCTTGTGAGAAGAGCAAGTATGTTCAATTTAACTCGAAAACTAATAACTCATTACTATTCCATAGTAAGGATCCGCACTGCCTAAAAGCTCTATATTGTTCCCTCGTGTGACCGATTCTAGAAAACACTTAAGTCATATGGGTTCCAAACGACGTTACATGGAACGTAAGAATCGAGCGAGTCCAAAAAAGGTTCATACGGCTTGTCCTCAGGAATCTACTGTAGCGTATCCCGATAAATGCCGTCTGCTTGATCTTGAAACAGCTGATCGAAGACGAAAGTTACAACAAGCTACGTTTGTCGTTAAATGACTCAACGATGAGATCGAAAAGGCATTCCATGAGACAGTTGCGGTCAGCTGATTTTATTGTTTACCGAGAACTTTTGACAGTTCACAGTTGAACTGACAGCTCTTTCCCATTGATAACTTTGTTTATATTTACATCTTGAATGGGCAACACCTGATAACTCATACTCCCATAGCTTTTTAGCTGTTTGTGTTGCGTTGATATAAATTTGACAGGTAGACAATAGATTTAGCTGTCACTTAGCCGCAACGCGTCCGATCCGGATCTAATGTGCGAGTGCCTTTACTTGCGTGCTTCAGGTAGGATGTTACGACAGCGGCCCCTGATGCAGTCGGGATTTCATCGTACTCTCACCATAGAGGTAACTCTAAGACCAGAAGGTCCTGAAGAAACGAGCGCAACATTTTGGCTCAGCTCTGGTACTATGTTCGGTCCCAAGCTAATCGATGCACCCGTCAAAACATAGGAAAATCCACGAACCCCTCATTTTATCTGTCAAACTTTCATAGCGAATCAAAACAAACATAGTGTAGTGCTGGAATTTATACTAGAATAGGGTACGTTAATCGTTTGCTTGGGACCAATAGGCTAGTCAAGTAGTGAACCAATTTAAAATCGTTAGTTTCGAATATTGATTGTTGCTCTCACTCTGTATGGTTATAACTAGAGAGGGTATAGTATAAAAGAGGAACTGGCTGGTTTTGAGCCAAACGAACTGTCAAAGCCAGAGCCAAACGAGCACCGCCTATCTTGATTGCACTGGCAGTTTGTTTTGAATCCGCTCCTCTCTTATACTAGACCCTCTCTAGTTATAACCAGCCTATATATCTGCAATGGTTCGTTTGTTTGCATCCGTTGAAAATTGAGTAAGAAGATTGAACATTATTAATGATATTCATTAGGACTGTTTTGTCAGATGAATGATTAAGCAATACCCAGAAAACCAGAAGTCGTATTACAATGTACAGACAGTATCGTAAATTGCTACAGTTTAAGTCAATATTGTATTTAAGAATGGCATACTTCGCATTATGTTTAAGTTGAATCGTATAGAATGCAAATTTCCGACCCATATGCGATGACTCATTTTTCCGTCATACTGTATCACAAATTAAATCGGATTACATCGTAAGACTTTTCAAAATGTATTTGTTATAACAGATTAAATTGTATATGATGTTAAATCAACTCGTTTAAAATTAAATTAAAATATGCACGTATATGGCCACCACTTTTGTACGTATAAGCCATTTATTTGCATTCTATACGAATTGTTTGTTTGTATATTTTTTTTTTTTTTCTTTATTTTAGAGATTTTTAGCCTGAGGCTAGTTCATCTCTTATTTGTTTGTATATATGTTTATATATCACCAAAACAACTTTGAATATAAGTGCATTCTGGTTGTCTGGGTAAATAATAAATACGCAGAATATGAGCTTGGGCTTTTTCAGCTAAAAAATTGCTTATTCAGCCTTTAATCAGCTCAAATGGTTTGTTGGCAATAGTCGCCTGTATATGGAATTTTTGATTAAATATCCGTTCTACCATAGAGGTAACTCTAAGACCAGAAGGTCCCGAAATAACGTGCTCCACTTTTTGGCTCAGCTCTGGTACTCTCTTCGGTCCCAAGCTAATCGATTCACCCCTCGAAACATAAGAAAAACCAATAACCCCTCATTTTATCTGTCAAACTTTCATAGCGAATCAAAACAATCATTGCATAGTACTAGAATTTCGACTAGAATGGGGTACGTTAATCGTTTGCTTGGGACCAATAGGCTAGTCAAGTAGTGAGCCAATTTAAAATCGTTAGTTTCGTATTGATTGTTGGTTCTACTGAGCATAATCCGTTCTTTAACTCTCTTTTTCGAACGGTACTGAAAAATTGAACTGATTCTACTATAGATTATAGTCGATATATTCAAAGTTTGGTGGATAGAATCTCGGGAACCAATTGAGCTGTCAAATAGCTGAACGAGTCGAGCATATCACGACCAACAACACAAAAGAGCACATCAGTTTTTGTAAATACAGCTCCGGAAACCTTTTTTTTTGTGACTCAAGGCTAGCCTATGCACAGCAACACCATAGGGAAAGTTTTCCCTATCCAATGATGCTGTTAATTTATGGACAACAGAGAGTCACAATATCGAGTTCAGTTTCGAACCCCTTCGGATACGGTTGTGTTTTAATTTTGCTCTCTGTTTTAATGCGTGCGTTCGCTTTCGTAACTTTCGGCTGCTTTTGCCTGATTAGCGCTGGCACGTTAAACGTGTGTGATTGGTGGTTTTCTCGCTTTCTGGGAAGTTTTAGAATCGAGAAAGAAAACATGATTCATCATGTTTGCAAGCATCTGAAGAGATTTAGTTATCTGCGTTGTTTGTTTGTTTTTTTTCTTCGCTTGTGCTCCCGGAACAGAAATTGGAGACATCGCGAGTGATAGTTTTTAATTTCAGTTTTTAATAGTTTTGTTTCGGCGAGTGCGAATTAATCTCCACGATCATCGACCGTCGTTGGAGTAGTCCTAAGAACTGGCCTAGTGGCCCCCAAAGTGCAGTACATCACTGTTATCATCACACATGGCTGGAGTAAATTGGATCATTCGGGTGAGACGGCTCCTTTTTGTTTATTTAATTTTATTTTAAACAGGATTGGAATTTAAATTTAGGAGCTCGACTAGCTTGGCGGCTACCGCTTTTGCTTACTGAGTAGAAGATCGTGGCTTAACTCCCAAGCTCCTCGAGAACATAACAATTACTGCTTAAGCGAATCCTGACCCATCTCCTACCAAAAAATCCAACTCCGTAGCATCTATGGGGGCGTCGGTGAGTCGCTGGCCTTCCGTTAAGTAGATGTTACATCAACAATATCCTTCCTTTCCCCGTAACGGAGATAATGGGCGTGGCTGGCAATGGTAATTAACATGCTTCTCCTGTTCTGAACATTGATTGGAGAACTATTCACTCTCAAAATCTACGAATTACTCCGTTACACACACAACGCAACGCAACAGAAAGTCACAATATCAGCTTCAATAGACAAAATCGATGCGACGAAGAGACTACTAGCCTTCTTTTTCTGTTGAAGTCGCACAGCTTCGCAGAATTCTACAACTTCAGCCGGTGTCTACAAACAAATTTTCAAACGCATGCCTCTCTTTCTCCCGTCGCATCATTGGTCTTCCTTTCAAGCTCCGGTGAAGCGAACGAGTGAAACAACGCTTGACTTTAATAGTTTTTTTTTTCCTTTTATTTAACGTCGGTCTCTGTTCCGCAATCTAGTGCCAATCACCGACGGACATCGATTGCCATCCATTGACGGCAATCGAATGTGCAGGAAGGCAGCTTCCACACCTGCGTAGGATATCGCACCCATTCAAACACACATGGGCCGGGACCAACGGCTTTACTTCCCTTCCGAAGGAAGACGTGACCAGAGATTTTTATGCCTCAGAAAAATCCCACCGACCTCGGCTGGGATTGAACCCAGACCCATCGGGGTGTTAGAAAGCAGTCACGCTTACCACTACACCACCGGCGCCGGCACTTTGATAGTTTCGTCTTTCATAAAACACTTCAACAGAGGTTTCATGACGTATATAATTGTAGATTACACGTAATATGTTTAATGTATCTTCCATCCACATATGTATCTAAAAAAAGTAACGAAAACGAGACGTAACGCATATTAAACAAATTGAAAGAGTGTTGGTGAAAGGGACTGAAAGCCATAAGGAGATTTCGTTTCATCTCGATACTCAACGTTACTTTCATTGAAAGCGATGAACAAAGCAACGACGAGAAAATCCACAACCAGTCTTTCGTTCTAAACGTGCTTTTCCTTTTTATTTTCGTTTCGTGCTGATAGTTTAGCTAGGCGTTATAGAAATGATGTGTTGAACACGTTGTATGAAAGAGACAAAACTCGAGTTCATTTTAGCATTTTAACAAGGCTCGGTAGCATCATAGAGGTAACTCTAAGACTAGTAGGTCCCGAAGAAACGTGCTCAACTTTTTGGCTCAGCTCTGGTACTATCTTCGGTCCCAAGCTAATCGATTCACCCCTCGAAACATAGGAAAATCCAATAACCCCTCATTTTATCTGTCAAACTTTCATAGCGAATCAAAACAAACATTGTGTAGTACTAGAATTTTGACTAGAATGGGGTACGTTAATCGATTTGCTTGGGACCAATAGGCTAGTCAAGTAGTAAGCCAATTTAAAATCGTTAGTTTCGTATTGATTGTTGGTAGCATGGTGGTCACCGTTCCTGCTTACTGAGTAGAAGGTCGGGAATACAATCCCAGGAACGTACCTTTCCTCCCTTAGCTCAGTCGGTAAAGGCGCAGCTACAAAGCAAGACCATGCTAGAGGTGGCTGGGTTCGATTCCCGGTCCGGTCTAGGAATTTTTCGGGTTGGAAAATTTCTCGACTTCCCTGGGCATAGAAGTATGATTGGACTTGCCACACAATTATACCAATGCAAAAATGGTACAGGCATCGGAAAGAGAACTATATTAGAACCATTTAACTTATGGTTTGAGAACTTTAATGGTAATGGTTATGGTAGTCATTAAGGTCCACGAATGGTTTTGTAACATCGATCAACTTTATGTGGAATATATCGCGAATTGGTTGCCTGTAATTTACTGATTACCAATTCACGATATATTCCACGTAAAGTTGAGCGATAATACAAAACCATTAATGGACCTTACTGACTACCATAACCATTGCCATTAATGTTCTCAAATCATAAGTAAAAACGTTCTTATATAGTTCTCTTTCTGAAAATGTATGGAGAAAACAAGAATTTAGAATGGTAATGGTTCTTAACAACCCATTATTTGTAAGGTCCAGTTCCAAAAAACCATAATACATAAGGTTGAAACTTTATCATTAAACGTTCATGTAAAGTTCCATAACCATTTCACTTAAAGTTTAGCAGGGATTATAAACAATTTTTAACCATTTTAGGTAAGGTCAATTTATGGTTCGCGTTTATGCGGGTTACCCTCCCCAAAGACCTGTGGACGTAGCTGGCGCCCCGGTGCTGATATATAAATAGCTTGAATGGATCATTTTAGATGGCTGAGTTTTGAACCCACCACAGCTTTCATTTGGCGCTACTGTATACGGACGAACCAATGTAAAATACTGTGGTAGCCACAGTACGGTGCTGTCAAAACCTCAGCATCTTCAATGATCCATTAGTGAACTTGCACATTGAAAATGGTTAAGCTAACCCCGAGTGCCATCTATGTCGTTCGCTGTGCAATTCCACTTATTTTGATCAGAAACGAAGTAGCAACTACGATATCCATGGTCTTTTTAAAAAAAATAGCAGTTGGAGGGGCATAGTGAACTTCCTGTGCCTTATAGCGAATTTGTTTATTATTCAGTTCCAACCTGGATCTGGTATCAAGATCGGCTCTGCTTGCTTTCTGACAAACGTCAGTTTGATCGTTTGTTTTTAAAACCTACCACATGTTGAGGTTCGCACTGACATAAACAAATTCGCTATTAGCCTTGGATTTCTAATGATTCGAAAAAAAAAAAATAATTGGTCATTAATCATTGTAATGGTGATATTGAACCTACTACCAATTAATTTGTTTCGAACAAATAGAGGTTTATGACTGGAGTGCTTATTATGCCCCACCTGTTCACTGTTATTGTCGCTATATTCATAGTCTGGCGGATAGAATCTCGGGAACCAATTGAGCTGTCAAATAGCGGAACCAATAGAGCAAATCACGACCAACAACAGAAAAGAGCACATCAGCTAAAACTTCGGAAACCCTTTTCTCGTGACTCAAGGCTCGTCTACGCTAACTAACACCATCTTTGAGTTGGGGAAAGTTTCCCCTATCCGACGATGCTGGTTCGATTGGCGAGAAAAGAATAATCAACGTTTTGTTTATAAAAGTTGATAGTACGTTTTAAGTTGTTGGTCTACAATATATTGAATTGGTTCCGATTTTTGATAGATCGAAATTCTATCCGCCAGACTATGAATATAGCGACTATAGTTCACTATACCCCTCTATTATTTAATTGATTCCACTTTCGAAATTCCATCCGCCAGACTATAAATATGCTATAGATACTATAGATTATAGATGACTTCTAAATTTATTTACCTTTCCATACATGTTGGTTGTTGTATTGTTAAAAATCTAACACTTCTTCTTAATTCCTATTTCGTCATGCGAGTTTTAATTGAATCGCCATTGGATTTTATTCGTAGGGTAGAACAGGGGACAAATGCCCCCCTCCCCCCCCCCCTTGAAAAACGCCCGATTATGTTTGTCATAGCTATTCCACTTTTAATTCTGGGATTGTTTGTGCTGAAATGATAGTTTAAGTACTAAACTAGCACTGTGGCTTGTCAAATTTATGATTTAAACGGGAATGCAATGAAAAATCGTATCGGACATTTTGCCCCGGGGTGTATTTTGGGCCGTTTTCCTTTACTACGGATGAAGGCAGAAAAATGGATTCGTTAGGAGCGCTTCTTTCGTTTTTGAGAACAATGAGTGTAAATATTCATACAATGCGCTCTAGTATGCTTTGGGTTGTAGCTTCTGAACTAATGCATCGGATCAAACGTATTTTTGATTTGGGCACGGTGAAATCATTGACATTATTGATGTTTTCTTCTCGATAGAACGGTGACTAGTACCGTATCTTAAATATGAAGAATATCGAAACGAATTTTTATCCCTCCAAAAATGTTAAATCACGTAAGAAGCGTAGGTATGTTTTTGAATTATTATTTATTAAATATTTCTATTTGAAGTCCATGCAATTCACCATCACACATTATGCTCTAAACGAAGGTTTTTAAGATTTGTCTACAGATGTTTAATCGTGCAATAGATAACATAAAGTTTAATTTTCAGAATTAGTGAGTTTACAGTCACCATTACTTTACTTATAACGAATTAAAATTAGTTACTGGCTTTAAATCACTGACCGAGACAGATTTTTCAACAGCAATCTCCTATTATTTGTAGAGCAAATTTTCAAATCGATGTAAGTGCTTTTGTAAACATCAATTACAAATGTCTATTTATCGAAACTGATCGGGTAAATCTAGGGTGAAATTCCACCTTCCTGATGGTGGTCTAAGTTTGCCTGGATGAGCTATCAGTTTCGATAAATTGACGATTGAAATCATTATTTACAAAAAACACTTACGTCGGTTTTAAAATTTGCTACAGATTAGTTGTATCGTTTTGATCAAAATTTTATGAACATAGAGTATCAGTGACTCTTAAAAACGTACCCAAAGTTATGCATTGTATGAGGAAACATGTGTAAACCTACGGGTACTCCTTCGTTTTGAGCATCACGGTCGCCTCTCACAACATATCACCATTACTTTGTCTCCACCTCCGAGTTGAACCACTATATCACTTAGCAGAATTGATTATAAAATTTTTGTAAACATTCCGTAACATCAACAATAGTTAGTATCTTCATTATCTGTGCAATGGCTTGCTAATAGTTTGGATTACTACATTTTTGGTTGCGATGGTTTATCGGTTTGTCGGCGGAAAGTGCCACTTCACTTCAACCAGACTATTGAGTTCTTCTATTTCTGTTTTGGCTATGGGTGTACTGACTGTAGAAGCTATTGTTTAAATTAAATCACGCTTAACCGATTGATAAAAAGCATACATTAGTTTTTTTTTGTTTTATAGATATAGCAAAACAGTTGCAAGATTCTAGAGTAAACTGCACTAAGCTATGTATGTAGTACAACATTGTTAAAAAGCATAGCTCAAAGACTTGTTAGTTATTGTTCTTCATTTGCTGTGACATTTGTGTGCCTGTGTGTCTGTGTCTATTTGATTGCATTATTTGAAACATTCGATGCCGCTCGCTGCGATTTCCACTTGTTTGTTTATGTGTACTAATATAGTAACTTATATAGCATTCTAGTCTAAGTTTTGAGAAGATCTGCTCCGTTTAACAGTAAAATAACAGCTATATAGCTAAATAGTTCTGCAATAAATAGACTTAGCTACTAAGCGCGTGCTGCATGTTGATTCTCTTTTGTCTGTTTAATAATGCTAAAACTAAGCAAAATAAAGCTTGTTCGGATCCTTTTTGATGCCGATCATTGGGTTTGAAAAACTCATTCTTATCACTGGAATGCTTCATTCATTTGTGTTTCGATTCGTACTTTCTTTTTCTTATTTGTTAGTAAGCTTAATCTACAGCTAGCGCACATTTCTCATGATCCAGATGGCCGATGCACTCGATCGAGGGATGGTGTCCCGAATCCCACATTCCCGGTCCGCATCGTTTGCACAATCCCGACAACGTGCAAGGAATCTTCGGAAACTGGCGGAACTGATGCAATAGTCCTCGGGCCTTGCGCAGGATCAGCTGTCCGTCCATGTACATAGCTGGAAAGGTAATTTCATATTTTAGCTTTTTTTATTGTGTATGTAGCTATTTTGGTAGTTAGCTAACCGGGACTCAAACCTAGTTTTGGAATATCTTTGAAATTTTCAACGATTTTTTTCAATTGGATTGTTTGAAATGGTATCAGTTTCCCTTTCTGCTACCATGTGATACCATAATGACGGGTTCGTTAAATCGGTAGACAAACATAAAAAATCGGTTGAAAATTTCAAAAATATTCCAAAAATAGGTTTGAGTCCCGGCTTGTTTTAGAAAACTAGAATTAATTGATTTCCTCTATCCTCTATCTGAAAGCAATATCGAAACGAATGCACCATCGTAAATTTTTAATTTGAACTGCTGACGTGGAAAGTTCAAGACAATTAATCCAAAATTTACGGAGTTACATCAAATCGGGGCCTCATAGCCTAATCAGTAAATGCACGGTACTACCATAGAGGTAACTCTAAGACCACTGGGTCCCGAAGAAAATCATTATTATTTTTGGCTCACTCAGTACCAGAACAACGGTCCCAAGCAGTCCCAAGCTATTTCACTCACCCCTGCATGTTCTGCATGAATCCACACACCCCTGATGTTATCTGTCAAACTTTCATAGCGAATCAAAACAAACATAGTGTAGTAATAGAATTTCAACTAGAATAGGGTACGTTAATCGTTTGCTTGGGACCAATAGGCTACTAAAGTGGTGAGCCAATTTAAAATCGTTAGTTTCGTATTGTTTGTTGCTACAAGGCACCATAACCTTTTTTTGCAGTAGCAACGCATTCTGGCGGTCAAGAAGGTTACTTTTCACCAATGAGTACAGAAAGAGGTGAAGCAGATCGTGAAATATGGTTGTATTAGTAATCCAAAAAATCAACGTAAACGCAAGTAGTGACGTCACTAATTGCTTGTATCGTACAGGGGTTTTACTCACACAACTCAACCGATTGCTTCACCTCGGTAATCCAGCTCATTGACTTTTCACCCCACCTAGTAATAAATGTGGAAGTGCATTTCGAACACTAAAGGCCCAAACGCAATGTGGACGGAAGCGGAACGGAAAAGGAAAGTTTGACAGTTGTCACAAATGACATCAAGATGCCTAACCGAAGTCGATTTGGTTTCAACCTGTTTCAACAAGTTTTCAATCCGACAAGTTGGCTTACTCAGATCGGGCTTTTCCGCTGCCGTTGCCGTTCCGCTTCCGCTGTCATTGCGCTTGGGCCTTTAAGGCTGTGAATCATTTGCCGAGTTCAATTTAACTCATGGTTAAAAGTGACATTTCGAAAGTTATTTTCTATGTTCGAAAATCCCTGTGCTGTCGGTCGACCGCTTTTCGAGCAGAACTCAGCCACAGTTGTCAAAATTCAACTTCTTGTCTGTCAGAAGCAACCACGCTCGGATAGCAGGGTTAAACGATAACTTTACATCTGTCAAATTTTAACAAAAAGTTAAAATATTCCACCAAATGGTTCAGAGCCTAAGGCTATGTTCCATTTGGAAATTTTTCACTTAAATTTGACACTTCGAAAATAAAATAAGATGTTCGAAAATTCCTCTGTTGTTGGTCAGCCGATTTTTGAGAAAGCGTCTTTTAAATGTTGATTCCTTGTCAGTCAGAAATGAGTCTGCTGTAATAGCATGTTTATTTCAAAAATTTCCATCTGTCAAATTTAAGTGAAAATTCACCAAATTGATTCAAATTCACCAAGAATAATAAGAATAAGCCGGAGTTACAACAGAACGGTATGAAAACATAAAAACTGGAAAAACGACTTCATGTTCAGTGTGGGTCACGCATATTCAATTTGCAATGTGCCTTCTTCTGATCGGAACATAAGCAGTAGGGTGGTTCAAATATTGATTTCGCTCCACCAAGCTCAATCGATCCCAGGTCCTGATTATTCTCCCAAAATTTGAATTTATTTGGTTGCGAACTCATGCTGCACTGACCCTTCGAAGTTTATATGGGAATTACTATGGGAAAAGAGACCATTTTGTACTCAACGTCCTAGCCCTTCGCCACAATTATTTACGGGGAAGCTTGCTATCTAAGCTTGTGAAATTCTATTAGCTACAACTTTGCTCCAGACCATTTTTTGATTAGATAATTCAAGGCAATTAATTATTGACTGATTTCGAACCCAATGACTTTCTTATATGATTAATCGATTGCTTTTAGGGCAACACGGCATCTTCAACTTATAACATAGTAGCCTGGATTTTTTGCACTATTTTTCTCGCCAAGCACACCAATGTTGCCTGCTGATGGAGCATGTCATCTTTGTATTGAGCATTTCATCGGATGTCACGCTTTTATCGTGTAGTTCTATCGAGAGTCTTTCAGAGACGATAGTTTTTGTTTTAAGGATATAAATCGTCTTCTAATCTATGGGAGCTCTTCGAAATCGCCGTGAAGTCATGGATTCCTTTGCAACATATCGGGTGAGATCTTTCCTTTATTGTTCTCTTAACATCCATTCCATTACAATATGACACATTATATGCTGGGTATGGGACGGTCCAACCAGGGCGGCACCCGATTGAAGCGATTTGGATGGGGAGAGTGGAATTGCCAACTTCCTGTCGTTAACAGATCGTGAATTGAAGGCGGGATCTTCTTCCCCACTCATTTTGACATCCCCTCGTGCGATGGCTTGTACATTACCGGGTTTTAGGATTTTATTGTTGGAAGGAGATTCTCTTTGATCCCGCGGACTAAGCGTAAGTGTCTCTGCTTATAGGTTCGCGCTCCGTTTTTGGCCCTTCATACAATGGTAAATTGAATACAATCAGGTGTTGTACTTGATCAAGTCGTACGAGGTGGACAGTCCACTGTCTAATAGTTGTGCCTGCAACAATGAGTGGTTTCCTTTACATACATCCATACATAACGTCTTGATGTCTTCGGTGCACTTATGATGCAAGCAATAAGTACTCCGCAGATACCAAAACGACATGCATACGACACAATCGATCGAGATCAGCTATGGCAGATTATGCACGAGTACAGATTTCCGGATAAACTGACGCGATTGGTCAAGGCGACGATGAATCGAGTGTTGTGTGTTGTTCGAGTATCGGGAACACTCTCGAGTCTCTTTGAATCTCGAAGGGGGTTACGGCAAGGTGATGGACTTTCGTGTCTGCTATTCAACATCGCGTTAGCAGGTGTGATCAGAACAGCTGGGATAGACACGAGTGGCACAATCTTCAGGAAGTTCATCCAGCTTCTTGGCTTCGCCGATGACATTGACATCATGGCACGAAACTTTGAGACGATGGCGAAAACATACATCAGACTGAAGGCTGAAGCTAGGCGGATTGGACTTGCCATCAACGCATCAAAGACAAAATACATGAAAGGAAGAGGTTCTAGGTAAGACAATGTTAGCCTCCCACTCCGAGTTCAGATTGACGTTGATGAAATCGAGGTGGTCGATGAGTTCGTGTATTTGGGCTCACTGGTGACCGCCGAAAATGATACCAGCAGAGAAATTCAAAGACGCATTATGGCAGGGAATCGTGCCTACTTTGGACTTCGAAGGACGCTCCGGTCGAATAAAATTCGCCGCCGCACGAAGTTGACTGTCTACAAGACGCTGATTAGACAGGTGGTCCTCTACGGCCACGAGACCTGAACTATGCTCGTGGAGGACCAACGCGCCCTTGGCGTTTTCGAACGGAAGGTCTTGCGTACCATCTACGGTGGAGTGCAGATAGATGACGGAAGAGTACAGATGGATGGAGGAGGCGAATGAACCACGAATTGCACCAGCTGCTGGGAGAACCATCCATCGTCCACATTGTGAAAATTGGGCGACTACGGTGAGCTGGGCACGTCGTAAGAATGCCGCACGACGACCCAGTGAAAATGGTTCTAGAAAGCGACCCAACAGGAACAAGAAGAAGAGGCGCGGAGCGGGCAAGGTGGATCGACCAAGTAGAAGGCGACCTGCGGACCCTTCGCAGACCACGAGGCTGGCGAAGTGTGGCCATGGATCGAGTAGAGTGGAGACGACTTCTTCGGACAGCAGAGGACAACACGACCCACACGATTTTGACGGAAACACTTTTATCACTTTTTGCATTTTTGGGGCAGTCCAGTTTCAGATGCAACAGAGTTCAAGACGATAAAGTTTTGAAGAAGACAACGATATTAACTATCTGCACGCTGGATCAACATATAGTCATGATAGAGGGATAGAACATTATTTTATTTTCATAAAAACAGAACCATCATAACAGATTATCAGGAAAGCCCTTTAGTATGGGATCCCGGCGAAGAAGAAAATTGGAAGACCATACTTCACATCGATCGGCAGATTATTGGCAAGAGGTGGTTAATAACTGAAGCGAGTTTAAAACAGCCATGACAAAATTGTTCACTGAAATGGTGGAATCAGAATAGGGGAATTTACGTATTCTCGTCAATCTAAGCAGCGTCTGCACTTCTACTAGCATTTTCTCAGCGTCACGCACATATATGTGTCTGTTTGTTTACATTCATCTGCTGCTTGCTTCTCTATCCATTCCAATCGACCGAATTTTTCAAAACGTTTTGAAAGCGTTTTTACAACGCTCCAAACTTCTCAGGTGAGTGTGACTATTGTCGGCAGCCTCTTTTTCTTCGGCAACCTTCCCGTTAGAACTGCGTGTTAACCAGCTGTTCTATTATCGGCAACTCGAAATCAACCCCATTTTGTAGTGCGTAGGCTTTATTTGAAGAAATTGATTGCTCGATCGTTCAAATATAATCAGATTGAAGCTGAAAGGCTAAACAATCGTTTGGACACATTCAGGGAAGTGCCTTGATGGGAAAACATAGTGAAATTAACGTTTACATTTTGGTTGCCGAAAACAGTCAATGGGTGCCGAAGCCAACATTTACCCTATGTAGACTTGGAAGATACTCTCAGTGATTCAAGAAGCGATGATCAACTGAACATCCCGGATTTCAGAGGTTTCTCTAACGACGAGGATGATGCTATCACAGGATTCGTTATTGTCAAACTCAGTGATGGTAAAATCAACTAACAGCTTACCTTACTTTTCACCAATCTCGATCATTAGTAACAGGTAAATATTCATTTTATTTAATTAGTATATTATACTGTCATTATCATCGCAACCAATTCATTGGGGCATATTCAATTGACATACATTGGGTTATTATTTTGCATGCAAAGACATGGGAAAAGCGGGACTCACGATTCAACATAACGTCAAATGGAACTCGGAAGAAGAAAATATATTGTGCACAAACACCTATAAAATCCGGAGTGGTCCGGTTTCAAGCTGACTAAAGTGCTGAAGATGCCGAAATCAACAGTTTGTCAAGTGCTCAAAACCTACAAGGAAACCCTGAGTGTGGAAAGGAAACAGCGGACCTACGAAAAAACTGGAACCAGGGATCGTCAGCTGCGCAGCAAGGTGTTGAGGTGCGTTAAAGCCAACCCCGGTCTTTCGATCCAAGATGTGGCCAGAAGGTACAACGCCAACTTTCAAACGGTGCAGAACGTCCTTGCCAGGGAAGGATACAAGTCGTACAAAGCCAGTAAACATCCGAACTGGCACATAAAGCAGAATTCCGTGGCCAAAAAGCGTGCAAGGCTCTTGTACGACCGTGTTTTGACGAAATACAAGGGTTGTACTTTGATCGATGACGAAACATACGTCAAACTCGATTTTAAGCAGCTTCCCGATCAAAAGTTTTACGTCGCGACTGGACGTGGGGATGTGCCGGGAAGATTCAAGTTCGTGTTTGCCGACAAGTTCGCGAAAAAGGCCATAATTTGGCAAGCGGTTTGCAGTTGTGGCCTGAAAATGGAACCATTCGTCACATCCTCGACGATGACATCCCAAGTTTACATCGAAGAATGCTTGGTTCTGGAGTGGTATGCTGCCAAGAAGATTGATTTTGTCTCCAAGCTAATGAATTCTCCGAATGGCTCGGAATTTCGACCAATCGTAAAATATTGGGCAATTTCAAAACAGCGACTTCGATGAAGCGGCAGGGCAGTCAATGACATCCAGCAAATGCGAGCAAAATGAAAGAAATGCGCTTATTCCGTATCCGTTTTCACTGTGCGAGCGCTGTTGGGTTCCATCAAGAGGAAGGTTCGAGATTTTGTTCGAACTGGAGAAATGTAACCATCTAATGCTGCAGCTTTGAAGTTTTAATAAAAGTACTGTAAAGCAACCATTAATGAACTTTTTAAACATATTGAATTACGAGTGGGTATAAATTTACTTTTAGTCAGCCTTTATATGGGAGCCGTTTTAAGGGTTGTGTGCGGCATGTGGTTCATTTTAGACATTATAGTTTGACGTAATCACCATGATCCACTCACGTTCTGGAATGTGGCCTTGAGACTTGAGATTTGGCCTTCATAAGACCCCCTTCTGTCTCGCAAAATAAAAATCAAATAACTAATATTATCCTGACGTTCAATTAAAATGCGGACTTAAGCAAAGTTGTAGCCTGAGAAAGTTTCACATTATTACAGATAGCACAGTTTTCCGTAGATCATTACAGCAGAAGGGCAAACAAGAACAAAAAACAAAAAGTTCACTTTTTCCATAGTAATTCCTATATAAACTTCAAAGGACCAGTGCAGTATGAGGCATCCAAATGAGCTCAAATTTTGGGAGATTTATCATGACCTGATTTGAAATCGATTGAGCTTGGTGGAGCAAAATCGATATTTTAAACCACTCTAATAGCCTACTGCTACTGCTGTCAGTATTATATCTATTGTGATATGCCATGCGCCTCCTTCATTATACTGTTCCCGAAGGAGGCGCATAGTTCGCGATGTTTACCTACATATGGATTACATTCTTCGCCAAATTAGTCGAGAAAGATTCTTAAATTCCATACTTGTCTACTATTGGTGCTATATTTTGATTCTCAAACTATTTGAGTCTTCGTGACGGAAGGATCAACAACAAAAATGACGTTTTTCCCACTTACGAGGTCAAGGGTTAAAAGTTAAAAAATATAAACTCACCTAAAGAACTGAAATGCAATAGCATCTCGTCGGTTCGTAAATCTTGAGCAATTACGTCGTCGGCGTACACTGCGATGATGGCCAAACAGAGAAACAGATGGAAATAGTCAGTCAAATAGTTGGACCAACAGGCTTCCCACATGCGAATCGCTACGGCTTCAGTGAATTCACGCTTGAAACATCTGTAAAAAAAAAAACGATCATTGTTCTACTGCAACACAAATACCGGTTCATCAAGTACTTACAGCAAGATCCAGCGATGGCAGAATAGTAATTCCATGGCATCGGTGTGCTTTTGAAGGTGCTTGTAGAAGCTAGGAACCATCAGTCGTATCAATTCCCTCAAGAAACACTGCAAACAGGACAATTGCTAGAATAAGAATAGGTACTATCCGAAAATGTGCACAACTCACCAAATTCCTGTCGATATCGTTGTCAGTAGGTGTGCAGACAAATATAGCTCGTTGCATAAGACCCACGAAACACCAGAATGTTTCCGATTCGTTCTTGATCTCGCATAGAACAGGAGCCAGCAGATCGCTCATGCCTTGTGTATAGCTGTGAATTATAATAACTTCCATTTTAACTACATCATCCATAAAACCTACATCAAACCAAACTTACGACATCCCAGGATTGTAGAAAGCATAATTCAGCAAAATATTCTTCATGGTATCAATGTTCGGGTTGTCCTCACCGGCAAAGAACGGATTTCCGCGATCCGTACGAACCACGTCCTTCTCGATGACGCACTGAACCGTACGCCAAAACTGGGCCTGCGCTTCCGGGGACATCGAGTACAGTCTTCGTCTGGTGATTTCCTCGTATTCTTGGCGGCGAATTTCCGATAGAGCGGCCCGGTCCTCGAAGGTCGAATTAGTGCTATAGCAGTGCAGCAGGAAAGGCCAAACCGTTTTGCGCAAGCTCTTCTCCAGCCCACCGAAGAAGACACATTTGCGTAGCTGAAGGTCATCCTCGATCTGGCCCTTCTCGTTCAGCAGCGTTCCGTAAAAGTAGTCAGTGGTGATCTTGTTGACTTTGCTCTCCTCCGGGTGTAGTTCGCACTTTCGTACCTCCGGTCGACACACCATAAACTGACGGTAAGGGAGGTTCGGTTCATCCTGGCCTGGAGCTAACTTGATGTTGTGCAATAGGCAGTGCCATTGGTGCAGAACTTGTGCTAGATGATCCAACCCACCGTGGTGAAAGTGAAGGATCTTGTACTGGGATTCCCGCGAAGCGATCACCAACTGGCCGGAGGTGCAATTTTCGTCGTTGAAAAATAAGCGCAGGGCACGCATCTGACTCAGATCGACGGAGAATCTGTAAGTGTAGGATGAATATAAAAGTTTTCGCATCATAGCATACGTATGGAAAAAAAACTAATCCTAATAAACATCCCCAGCAACAGAACATTTACTAGTAGAGTAAAGTCTGTTCCCGTTAGTACACACAAAACAAAAAGATTGTGTCCTTGAAAATATTGAACTTTTCTTTTAAAAGTTCGCTTAAATTTGGTAAATCAAGATGAAAAATCTTATTCCTAGAATATATCATTTAAATCAAAAGTGAAATCTGGTTGATTTCCATTTAAAATTAAAAGTGTAAACTTTTAAAATTAGAATAGGTTGACTTTCAGTGTGGCATTGATGCCAATTCCATGCGTCAGTCTTTTGTCATCCATTCTGCATGCACTGTTCTGGATTTCGCATAACAACACAAACACGCGAGGTGTGAAGATTCCGAAATAAAAAAAAAATGTTGAAATATAGTAAATTACATTTCCGCAGCATCTGAGCTAAAAAGTTAAGGTAAGTGTGGAAGCAGTGGAAATGCGTAGAGAACCAGAGTTCGTAAATGTATACGAGAGCGACCGGGAGAGTGGGACTGATTCCTCTTCCGAGGAAGCGCAGGACGAAGACGAGAAGCAGGAAGAGCAACCTTCAGTTTCGGCGGCTGGTACTGTCGGAAGAGGAACGGATTGTAATGCAGGTAATTTTAATCATACTCCTAGATATTTTCGTGTTATTAGGTTTTGGATTTTGTAAGGTTATGTTCTGTGCAATGAGATTATGAATAAACTTCGGATCTACGCTTGGCTCATATTATTTATTTACGGGTTTATATTATTGCAATAAAACTGTTGCCATTAACTTATTTTTTTATCGTTTCTTTCATTATTTAGAACACATAAACGAAACATGCGAAGTCGAAGAGGTGCTTCTAAAAAAACTGAACCAGAATATTAGGTGTTCTTCAGACCTTCCGGAGCATTCCGAATCGAGTGGGACTTACGACGGTGACTCGGCTAGTAGCTGCTCTCCAAGCTCCCCTCTTAAAGAGCAGCTTGACGAATGGAAACTGAGCAACAGCATTTATGTGCTATTGAAAGGTACGTTAATTGTTGTTTTTCTGAAGTGTATGTTGGCACCAGTGCTGTAAATTTTCAAAATCATTTGAACATTTTTGATGAAAATGAGAAAAGTAGCTATTCGCTATCAAAAGGGACCTCCTCCGAATGGGTGATATCAGTTGCTTAGTCATTTGACGAAGGCATGGATCATTCTCATTTGAGAAACGCTATATATCATTCAATTGAGTGTAACCTACACACAAACGGAGCTCTGGTCGACATTCCGGCGAAAAAGCGAAGCCAACCCGACACCAACCTGACTTCTATCAAACCCCAACCCGATCTTGACCCGACATTGACCCGACATAAACCCAAAATTGACCCGACAACAACACGACATTGGGTCGACATCGACCTTAAATTAGCCTTACATTGATCCGACATCGGGTCGACTTGTCTGTTCGGGACCATTTTGCTGGATTTCTTCCATACTCCACTGTCGTATATCAAATGATAGTGAGTGGCTCAATTGACAGTGACAATGAGCTTCGAATGAGAAAGGGGCTCTTCAAATTATGGTCATATGAGAATTCGTTTACACAGAATTGATTGAATGGTTGTATTGGTTCATTTTCAATCGAATGATATGAAAATTTACAGCACTGGTTGGCACAGAGGAATACTCTATAATCCACGTCCACGCAAACCAACATCCTCATCGGAATTTCTAACGATATTTAATTTTTAATTTTAATTGACCAATCTTTCCCACGGTCTTTCTTAATATCTGTTTTTTACTTAAATTCGTTATTTCAGAAAAAGGACTAGAGTATGAAGACCTGAAACAAGTTTCAAAAGCAGATGTAAATGAACTGTTTGAACCCTGTCGAACGGGAGAGAAGTCGTTGCTAAACTTGGCTCTGAAAGAAAAGTACTCTGCTAGTTTTGTTATAGACAATTTCCATTATGATTGGTTCTAATTTGGCCCTTTTTAATTTTTTCAGGAAACTTATCTGTGTCCGCGTGATAAATCTATCGGAAAGATAAATCCGTCAGGTCTGTTGTATCATCAGTACTATAACTCAAGTGACCGGAAAGCTCTCCAGTCACCACGCAAGAAGAAAGTGAAACTGCAAAACTCCAACGAAAGTGACGTATCCAATCAAAAGTACGGCCCTGAAAGTAAATATATCGACAGTGAGCATGCATAAGGGCGTAAACGCGATGATCGATTCTCTTCGTCGATTTTCTCTTTTGTTAATAACTCGCTAGATTTAACGTTTCTCGGTACGTTTGCTGTTGCTTTTGATAGGCAATACAACCTGTTACAACTGTGCCTTAAACAAGTTCTAGAAAATTGTTTCGCTTAGCTCTTTGATCGATTCTCTTCATCGACTTTCTCTTTTGACAACCACTGCTATTCAAACAGATTTTTAGCTATTTTTACCACATAGTTTGATAAAGGAGGTTCTTATCTATCGTTCAAAACGTCAAATACAACAGGGAATAGGTTTGCAACTGAGTTAATAACGAAAGAGAAAGTCGATGAAGATAATCGGTCAATGCAGATAGGATATTTTGAAATGTTTATCAAGAGTTGTTTCAGCCTATGTTGAAAATTGTTACACTTTGTTGTGATTTTGGGACAGATATGTTTAAGAACGACAGTATACTATTTAGTTTTTTTTATTATTTAATTTGTTTTATTTAGATTTAGTTTCGCTGAAGGAAGATCAGGATCAAATGCTGGGACTCACAAAATTTGTGGCTTCTACTATCAGTTCCCCACTATTCTAACTCATCATCTGTCCAGATTGGAAAATGTATTCGTAGCAGCTTTTATAAATTCGAATGATTTTGCTGGATATGGCGTAGAAAAGTCAATTAAACCGCTTGTTGATGTTCTAGTTTCACTTGAAAATGAAGGCATAGATGTTCAAGTTGGAGGCAAAACTCATCGGGTGTATTTCGTATTAGGCGCTTTATTGGGTGATAATCTTGGCTTAAATATGCTCATCGACTTTACAACATCTTTCAGCTCGTTTTACTATTGCCGATTTTGTAAAAGAAGCAAGGCTAAAACGTAAATCTATTTTTCATGAACTTAAATACTTTCACGTTACCAAAAATGTTGGAGTGGACCTTATGCACGATATCTATTCTTCTGGTGTATGTAAATATGATTTAATGCTAGTTTTAAATTATCTACTACATAATTTAAACATAACTCTGGAAACCATAAATTATCGTAAACAAATGTTTAAGCTCGGATCATCAGAAATGAAATACTTGGCTAAGCCATTCACAACAAATCATATCAAGGAGGGTAATTTCAAAATGTCAGCAAGGCAAATGATGAGCTTCGTCCATTTTTTTCCTTTAATAATCGGTGATAAAATTCCTGAACGCGACCCCGTATGGTTTTTTTTTTTGCTCACTATTGAAAATAATTGATCTGATTTTACTTCCCAAATACGATAGAGAATTGCTCGAAAAATTGAAAAACGAAATTGAGAATCATCATACACAATATTTGAAGTTATTTCCGGATGCGAAGCTTAAACCCAAATTTCATTTTTTGCTACATTATTGCGATTCTATTAAAGAGAAAGGCCCTGTTAAATACATGAAATGCTTCAAATTTGAAGAAGAGCACCAACAACACAAGACAGTTGCACGAAATGTAAAGACAAGAAAGAATATTTTACAAACTATATCAATTAAAGCATGTCTCAAATTTTCAAATAACATTTATACCAATAGTTTCTTCAAACATGACATTCAATGTGAAAACTATGTACAGTTACAAATAAGTCAATTAGATTATTTTAATAAACTTAATGTTTCTAATATCGATCACCAGACAGTGAAAATATGTAAATCTGTTATATATAAGGGTACGTTTTATCAAAAACATGATTTTTTAACAGTATCAAATGGACAGAGTGTAAAACTGTACGAAATTCGTGACACAATCATTATAACAGATAACAAATTCCAGTTAGTTGTTGCTGAATATCAGATCGTAGGTTACAGAGATCATTTTGTGTCCTACGAGGTAGGATCAAAAATGGATAATTTTGCCATGTTAGACGCAGATATTTTTGACGGCCCTCCAATTCATGTTTACCTACTGAACAATGGTAAAAGCTACATACGTGTTAAGAAATATTTTAATTAGTATAGTTAATAACCTGTATAAATGCATTATTTAAAAATAAAACAAAAAATATAATCTTTCTGAAACCTTTTATTTTTATTACAATCACATTTTACAACAGAATTATGAAATGATTCATGTCATTTCAAAAATTTTATCATTTTATTATGAGAGTACATCACAGTTATCTCGAATGTCAACACTTTTATTTGGAAAGTATTTATTTGTTCCTACAAAATAAGCAGATTTTCACATTAAACACGAAATGCTTTGGATTTGACATTTAAAAAGTTTGAACGAGAGGAGCACCTTTTAAAATAAAATTATGACCAAGCTCTTGATGTGAATGTTACTAAACATTTGCAGGGAAAGCTTTGAACTCTCTACCAAAAAGAACATGTTAAGTGCTCCGAGACTGAAAAGTTCGATACTCGACGAAAAGTACGTTTGATTGAGCTGAATTTTGTGTCTGTTATGAATTAATTTTATGTCAAAATTGATGCTCGTATATTTCAGTCTCAGAGCACCTAAATTTACATGAATTTTTCTAAGTGTGGATCTTTTTTTTTTTTTTTTAATTCTTTATTTAAGAGATTTTTAGCCTTAGGCTAGTTCATCTCTATTAAGTGTGGATCGTGATAAACGTGAAAAAATTATGCACACGATTGTGCAAAACAAAACAAACGTAGAAGTGGAACATATGACCGAAAACTACGAGCGAAGGTTATAAGGACAGTCCAAAAGAATCCTGGGATCTCCGGTCGTGATTTGGCGAAAAGGTTCAGTGCGGCACACAGTACAGTTCGGCGAATCTGTATGCGAGAAGGTTTCCGGTCGTACCATGCCAGCAAACATCCCAACAGGATGCTGAAACAAAACCTGGTTGTGAAAAACCGTGCAAGGAAGCTGTACGAGCATGTTCTGACCAAGTATAACGGATGTATTTTGATGAGCGGTGAAACTTACGTAAAAATGGACTTTGGACAAATCCCGGGCCAAAAATTTTACTTTGCTAAACGTAAGGGGGATGCTCCGGATAAATTCAAATTTGTCTTTGTAGATAAATTCGCTCGTAAGTTGATGATTTGGCAAGGCATCTGCAGTTGCGAAAAGAAAACAAAGGTTTTCATCACTGGAGCGTCTATGAATGGACAACTTTACAAGGAGGAGTGTCTCCAAAACATAATTTTGCCGTTCATTCAATCACACGAAGGTCCTGTAAAGTTCTGACCTGATTTAGTCAGCTGCCATTACAGCCGAGATGTCAGATGAATGGTATAAGCAGAATAATGTCGATTTTATTGAGAAAAGTATCAATCCATCAAATTGTCCAGATTTTCGTCCAATGAAAAATTTTGGGCAATTATCAAGCGCAAATTGAAGAAATGTGGCAAAACAATCAAAACACCATCTGATTTGGAGAAGTGGTGGAAAAGGATGGTAGATGAGGTTGACAGTACTACTGTGCAAGACATGATGAGAGGTATTCCGCGAAAAGTTCGAAAATTCATCCGAAAAGCTGGCGAATAATTTTTGTTGTATTCTTCCCTTAAAGCTAAAAATCCTACTAAATGATACCTTTAGCGTTTTTGTACTTTATTTCCCCTTGGAGAAATGACCTATTCTGTGCGGCCAAATTCTAAATGGAACATACTTTATGTGTCCCATGACGGGTTTTGACTCATCCTCGGGAATGGATCCAGATTTGGCCAAAGTAGTCTTGGACACTCGATTTATCCTATTTCGACTATGATCTTGTTTTTGAATTCTTATGAAATTTGATTTGTTGTTTGTTGGGTTTTGGTCCTATTCTTAAACAGGCTTTGGCTGTTATTCCCAACAAAAAAATTGAGCTGATTAAATACTGAATAAGCAATTTATTAGCCGAAACAGTCGAGGCAATGTTTGTTGGGCTGGTCATGTTACTGGTACTGTGTTACCGCATATACGTATTAGGAGAAATGGATGTAATGTCGGCCTAACTGCCCCTAATTTGGGCCCATACATAAATTCAGCAATCGACTAAATTTTCAATAGCCACCAAAAATATCCATTAGTACCGTCCCAATGACGCGTTCATCTAGTTAAAATTGATAAATAGAAGATTTTTAGCGATGGGCCCAATCTTAGATCCATAGGTCAACATTAGAGCCATTTCCCCTATCTAGGAAAACAAGATCTCGTTTAATTTTACGTTCATTATGCTGTGTTAAATTAGACATGGTATACATTTCCACGGATAGAACGTATATGCGTTATGAATGCGACCAATATGGTCCTGGGCACTCGGTTTGGCTGTTGTTGATCTTGGTTTTGAATTCTATGTGTCGCATGATGGGATTTGGCCCTAGTCAGGAACCAGTTTCTGACTAGCTCAAACACTTTAAGGTGATACGATCCAGCGTCCACTAATCATAGGCACTTGCACTGCCACTTCAAGTCTTCTAGGTAGTTAATCTAGGACACTGTTGCGATTTCAGCATCGCAGCAAACATGAGGAATCAGTTTTGTTATTGTATGTTTTCCGGTCCCCTGGAAAATGCGAAGTGGCATCAGACCCCGAATCGTATCACCTTAATGCGACTTTTCAAATCACACGATAATTAAAAATAAATAATAATAATAACCATTTCAAAAGGACGTTATTTTTCTGGAAGATTTGGATTGTAATCGCTTATTTCTAGATAAAGCTGGAATTAGGGCGTAACAGCCTTTGTAAACAATGATTTCTTGGAATTCATGGCACGCCTACACAAACCAACATATCAATCGGATAGGAGAAGTCTTCCTCTACTTGATAGCAGGCTTGCTTCCGCTCACTTGCTATAAAAAACATATTTTCGGAATTTTGAAATCATTAGATGTTGTAATGATAACTTGTACTTGTTACATACAAGAAAAGGTTGAAAGGCAAGTGTTTGACACATAAAACCTGTCAAATTCGCTTTCAGATAGTCACAATCAGCGATTTTACGACTCACGAGCGCTCACTCTGAGTGAACGCTCACGAATCATTAAATCGCTTATTGTGACACTCTGAAAGCGAAATTGACAGGTTTCATATATCAAACACATACTTTGCAACCTCTGCTTTTAACTTTCAAGTATAAAATATCATAATAACATCTAACGATTTTATAATTCTGAAAAACATTTTTTATAGCAAGTGAGTGGAAGCAACCCTGCTTGATAGTGAGGTTGATTTTCCAGAAATCATCGAGAGAAGCCATTGTTTACAAAAGCTGTTACGCCCTAATTCCAGCTATCTCTAGATTTTTGAAACCATGAACCCATTGGAAAGCCATGGTCATCTACTGAATGTTGGAAAACTCACCTTCTGCACTTGACCGGGTTCTTCCGGCTAACAATAGGCGAAGCTGAAGCACTTTCCGGAAAGGCTAGATTGTGCTTGTATGCCAACAGCTCGGGGGACATCCAATTGGGGTTGTTCTCGTCGTTGGAGGATATCGATAGGGATCGCATAAATCGCTCATTCTGCGACAGTGCCGACTCTGGTGGTGAAATATCCAAATTCTGAATGTGTGGACTAGCGATCGTTATGTTGACCGAGGTCACAGAAGCTTGCGACGATAGCACTTTGGCCACGTTGTTTCCTCTCGATTCTTCCGATTCGATCAATGGTTGAAGTTCGGTTTTCAATTCCTGTTCTTCGGCCGTTTCTTCTACGATGCTGTTGTGGGTTTCCGAGGTAATGATCCCTTCGTCGTCTTCATCATCATGAACGTCTTCACGACTGTATTCGTTGCTGTTGCATAGACTGGCCTTATCGGAGTTTGAACTAATGCTGATGGTTTCGGAATAATCCGAACAGTTCATAGATTTGGTATCACTTGAAGACTGTGCTAGGGTTTCATTATAGGGCTCGAGGAATGGATTGGTATTAGCAATTTTAATTGTTGTGGTAAATGGGTTTCCTTCCGTTTTTTCCGGATGATGATGCTGAACCGTGTCAAGTTTTTGCAATTGAATTTCCTTCTGGGACTGCTGCTGAAGTTGTTGATGTTGTTTCAGTTTGGTCTCAAATAGACTGTTCGATCGAAAGAAGCCACAGTTTTCAACCGTTGAAGGACATTTTCGTAAGGTCGAATTCGGAATCCACGTAAGAAAAAGAGTCGGTCTCTTGGCGTTATTGTACTGATCGATGAATGTCTTGGTAGTCACGGTCAAATATCCGGGATAATGTAGGATGTCGGATTCCTGGCGAATGACCGCCGGAGGATGGACGCAAATGTTGTTCTTACAGAATAGAACTTCGTTGTCCTCGTAAACCAGCTCATTACTTTCCTCTCCGTCGTCGTCACTGCCCATAATGTAACTAGATGCCCGCTTTAAGATGTTTACAATCGGCATGTTGGGTGACTGTTCTGAAAGCATAACAATAGAAAACTTTGTGAGATGATGTAAAATTAATATTCATATTATAAAATCAATCAAATATTTTCATACATTTGACTAGTAATTTGAACTCAGTAATCATAAGCATAACATAACTCATATAGGGCTGGTTTTCCAGTCATGGCTATACCACGCTATATGTTTATATTAAGATGAGTTCCAATTATGGCCTATGGGATTTCCATATGCTGTAATTGGAAACAGAAGTGTAAATGGTGATTGCTTTTTACTTTTTGTTGTTGTTCTTTATTTAAGCCAAAAAGTTGAGCACGTTTCTTAGGGACCATCTGGTCTTAGAGTTTGTTTTTTTATTATTATAGTCACTTTAACGCTCTTGGGTCATTCGTGACTTGGCGTGAGAGGTATGGATCTTAACCTCTACGCCTGGGTCGCCTCATGGTTTTAGAGTTTTCCTCTATGGCAGCTGACTATAATCAAATACATCATATCAAGAGAACTGGCAACTTTGCCAGAATCCAAGCGACAGATACACTAGTGAAGGTGGAGGCAACGCATAGAAAAATGGGCAAATATACAAACCTTTCTTCTGAGGATGGAATTTTGCTATCAAATTCGTTCGAAGCATTTACCTTTGAGCGGCAGATGACGCATTTGTGCCTGTCTCATAGCGGTCGTACGTGAAAATGGAAGAGTTGCCAGTCTTCTCTATGCGTTGTCTTCGCTAAAATAGAGTACCGAGTTTTAAGTATTCATGATATTTTAGTGAAGAGTCATCAAACGAAATCCCAAAATTGCTGATCTCACCAGTAAGTCAACTCGCTTGCGTCATCCTTCTCCGTTTCACCTCGCGCACTTGAAATCTCTGTTTGATAACAGGAAACCTTCGTGAAAATAAGTGAAACATCTGGAGCCAGCGCAGGAGTGCAGAAACTGCCACGAAATTGGGCCGGTTATGCACTCCTGCATCGACTTCCAGATGTTTCACTGAGCAAAAACATTCACTAAATGGCCTGTTGTAGAGCTCCAGTCATGAACACGCAATCCGGCACACCAAGAGAGCCACCAACCAGCCGAACCACCAGGAAGTGCCAAATATGTTAACCTCAGTCCCCAAATTAAAATCGTAACAAATTAGAATCATTTTAATCCTACCCATCGTATGGAACCCAAAAATCCTAACTACCAGTAAATCATCTTTTATGATGAATTTGCTGACTTATTCAGTGCACAAATATTGAAATAAAAGTTCTGAAAAACTCAGCAAAAAGATGTAAACAAATAAAAAAACTGATATAGACAGCAATTCTTTACTGTCTTAACCGGTAATTTTTGTACAGTTCCGAAATGCTACGATTTACGGAGTTTTCAGTTAGAGCATGCAAGATAGGGAAATGTATGTTATGCTCTTCGGGAAGGAACAGGTAAACATTGATTACCGTAATGTAGATATGCAGACATTCTTCTATGAAAAGACTCTGGCTACGACGTTGGTAATCTACTAAACATTATATATTAACCAAAGCATGTATTTTATTCCATTGATAGCTCACGTCTCGCCCATTACGCCGATTATATTTATACTCCACAAAAGAAATCGAAAATCCACCTGAAAGCATTCTCTCCACATCGAAACATTTCCTCTCCCCATTATCCTCCCCCACAACTTAAAGACCACCAAAAAAACATCCTGGCGCACCCTAATGAAATTGCTATAGCGCCATTTGCAGTTCTCGACCAACCATTGAAAAAGGCCTATCAGATTTTTTTAACAAAACATTGTAAGCCCTTTCCTAGCAAACCGAAGGCCGCCTACGTAAATCAATGGCATACGACCAATGAGATCAGCCCAAATTTGAGTTCAGTTTAACTCATAATCGCAAAAAGTGCAGGAACTCAGCGATGAGTAAATTTGCCGTTAAGAAAATATCTGTTTTCCGCACTGGTGCTATGGTTTTATAAGACGCAACTAGGAACTCAAGATCATCATGCAAAGATAATCGACGTCAAAATGCTGTAGAATACATCAAAAATAGCATGAAAGACTTTCCGGGAGAATAAGTAGCGACTAGCAGTGATGCAGAGAAGGACAACGTGTTCACAAATAGGCACGAAAATTGGGCAGCAGTGTGAAGAAACAGCAAATGTTGGTGAGATCGTTTTGAATTTTTAATTTTTATTATTACTCATATTTAAATATATACGAAACAATGCTGGGATTGGGAGGAAGCATTAGGGCACTTGATTGAAGCGATTTGGACAGGGAGAGTTCCCTGTTGATATCACTTCGTGGATAAAGGGCGGGATCTTCTCCCCACTCATTGGGGCATCTTCCTGTTTGGGGGCTCGTCTTTTTGACCAATTGTGCGATCATGTTGCTGGAAGGAGATTCTTTACTGTCCTGTAGATGCGTATAGGTGACTTTGCCTATTGATCCACCCAGTCCATTTTTGGAACTTCATACAGCGATATGTTGAGGACAATCAGAGTTTATTAAGCTTGATCAAGACAACCAAAGAAGAGAGCCCACTGCTTTCGAACTTAAAGGGTGAAACGGTTAAAAATTAGTCAATCATGATTAAGTTTACACTCATTATGTTATTGTAAAGCTTGCTTCATTTAGAATTGGAATAAACTTTTGCTCATATTGTGGTGCTCCTGGTGGACGGATTTGGAAGTTCTTGGCGCCCACGTGTCGGGAATTTTGTCAGCTTCACGTATGTATTTTTGACATTCCGCAAATCGACTGTACTTTGTAAACAATCAACATGGAAGCCGAAAGAAGGGAAAAAATTGTGCACAGTTATTTGGAAAATCCATTGTGGTCTGCATCTAAGCTAGCTGAACAGCTGAAATTGCCCAGAAATACCGTATGGCGCGTTATCAAAACGGTATAAGGAAACATTGACGACGATTCGGAAGCCTCAAGCCAATCGTCGGAGTGGAACTGTCGACCGGAAACTGCGTGGTAAGATTTTGAAGACGATTAAGAGGAATCCCAATCTGTCGGACCGTGATTTGGCCAGAAATTTCGGTGCAGCCCATAGTACCGTGAGGAGAACTCGACTCCGGGAAGGAATCAAGTCGTATCGAGCTAGCAAACAGCCAAATCTGACCATAAAACAGAATAGTGTGGCGCGGAAGCTATACGACCAGGTGCTGACCAAGTTCGACGGGTGTCTTCTGATGGACGATGAAACCTATGTCAAGGCTGACTTCGGGCAAATCCCAGGTCAAAAATTTTACTTGGCAACGGCTCGGGGGATGTTCCAGCCAAATTTAAATTTGTTTTTGCCGACAAATTTGCACGAAAATTTATGATTTGGCAGGGCATTTGCAGCTGTGGCAAAAAAACGAAAGTTTTCGGTACAAATAAGACAATGAGAGACTATACCAAAAAGAGTGTCTCCAAAAACGAATTTTGCCGTTCATTCGATCCCACGACCATCCCGTAATGTTTTGGCCAGATTTGGCAAGCTGTCATTACAGCAAAGTCGTTCAAGAATGGTATGCAGAGAAAGGGGTCCAGTTTGTTCCGAAAAACCTTAACCCACCCAATTGAGAAATACTGGGCAATCATGAAGAGGAGACTCAAGGCAAAGGGAAAGGTTGTCAAAGACATCAATCAGATGAAGACCTGGTGGAATAAGATAGCTAAAACGATGGACGAAGAAGGTGTGCGCCACCTAATGAGCCGTGTTACAGGAAAAATTCGAGAATTCCTTCGAAACCGTGACGAATAATTTTATCCGTATTTTTTCTTAAAAGTATGAAGAAAACGCTACATTTTTATAAAAAAAAGATCTTGAATTCAATAATAAATAACTGAAACACAGGCAATTGTTTTTGTTCCAATTCTATCTGAAGCAAGCTTTATATATGATAAAAAAAAAAAAAAATTGAAGTTCAATTACTACAAAATATAGGAAAATTATTTGATCAGGCTTCCGATTTTCCAAATGTGAACTGTCGGGCTTTACGTTTCACACCTTCCATCAGATTTTGTACCGCTGTTGTTTTTTGACAACAATGGTTTTTTATTTTGAAAAAAAAGTCATGAAATTATAATAGCCCTTATTAACGATGTCACTTCACGGCAACGGTGCCATATATACAGACTTCTGTACACGAAAAAAGTGGTCACCCTTTTTTAATTGTATCCAAAAAATATCAAATGAAGTATTTCGTGAAGGTACAATTAATGCAATAACTAGTTAATATTTGTAACTATTTTTATATCTAATGAGATTAGAAAAATCGTTATTATAATTAATGTTACAAGGGTTGAAAAACGATAGTGTCCACCTTTATCGTGTACAAAAGTCTGTATATCTGGCATCGTTGCTTCACGGTGAAATGATTCCCATTTGATTTATACGGCAATCACTTCACCGTGCATGCCAAGTCGTAATAAGGGCCAATATCACATTAAACACAACGTATTGTTTGTTTAGATTATACGTAGGGAAATATAAAGAAAACTAAATCCACTTAGAGATCTGGGTCTGAGCAACATACCCATATTGTCATTTAAAATACTATTAGAACGTAAACGAGAATGTGGGTATTACCAACAATCAATACGAAACTAACAATTTTAAATTGGCTCAGTACTTGACTAGCCTATTGGTCCCAAGCAAATCGATTAACGTATCCCATTCTAGTTAAAATTCTAGTACTACAGAATGTTTGTTTTGATTCGCTATGAAAGTTTGGCAGATAAAATGAGGGGTTATTGGATTTTCCTATGTATCGAGCGGTGAATCGATTAGCTTGGGACCGAAGATAGTACCAGAGCTGAGCCAAAAAGTTGAGCACGTTACTTCGGGACCATCTGGTCTAGTCTAGGGACTAGTAGGTCCCGAAGAAACGAGCTCTACTTTTTGGCCCAGCTCTGGTTCTATCTTCGGTCCCAAGCTAATCGATTCACCCCTCGAAACATAGGAAAATCCACGAACCCCTGATTTTATCTGTCAAATTTTCATAACGAATCAAAACAAACATTGTGTAG